ATGGCAAGAAGAACATGATCTGACATTTCGAGGAATGAGAAGTTGTCCATGGGCCATCTCTGTCTGACAAATGCCGTTGGGGACAAACAAAAAAGAGATTGTGGGCTGCTTTTCAACCCTTAGAAGAGGCAGGGCACCCACCCAGCCCACTTCTACAAAATTTGTAACTTTTGGGCTCACTTACACATACCTTAGCAAAAAAAAAAAATCTGATCAGGATTAAAATATTCAGTTATTTATATTGTGTGATTGCAAATAATGGGCTATTGTGGAAAAAAATTTATGGGCAAGGAATCATTTGGAAAAGAAAGGACACGAATAAAACAAGATATAATAGATAATTGTTAAAATATATTCTCGATTTAAGGGTGCATATGTCAAAAACTTAAGATGAAGATTACTTTCTTACTTTCAAGAATACAATACCCATTTAAGATGGATTAATCACACTTTTACCACAAAAATAAATTCACGTTATACTCATGTCATTTATGAAATTGTTCGTAAATAAGTTTATACGTATTTTGAAGATCAACTTTATACTTAAATATAAATTTGAAAATAAATAACAAAACTCACATATTTTGGGCATGTTTTGTAAGCGTTTTTGTTTTAATCCAAAAAAATAAAAAAAATAATTGTTTTGTTATATGTTGTTTTGAATAGTAATCAAAAATACGTTTATCTATTTGTTGTAAAATTTTTAGAAGCAAAAACATAAAAACAGGTTTGGTAAATTTTTCTTATAATTTTTAAAAATATAATGGCTTGTTTCAAAAACTTATTTATGAGTTTTTTAATTTTTTTTTTGATACTATTCATTGTTAAAGTATATGTTGTTACGGAGCAAAAATACTTCAAAATATTAAATTTTCAATTTTTGATCACTATTTACGAAACGATATTGTTCAAAACAAAATAATTTTTTACAAAACACATTTTTTTTTACTACGGAAATAAACACCAAAAACAAAAGGAGAACCAAACAGACTACTGGTGTACTCTGCATATTTTTATCCAATTTTGGAAATCACTAACAGGAGGAGGAGGAGGAAAAAAAAAAACAGAAAAAAAGAAAAAGAAAAGGAAGGACGATTAAACGACTAATGTTAAAAAAGAATAAAGTAAGAGGTCATTTGAAAATACACAAAAATGTAAGGACTTGGGATAAAATTCCAATTGCGTAAAGCATATGGGATAATTGATAAATGGAATAACATGAGTAAGTTGGGATTAAATTTAGGGTAAATTACATTTACCTTCCTCCTAGTTAGCAAAAAGCTCAAACAGCTCCCCTCAATTATTCAAAATATCATTTGCCTCCCCTAAAACAAACTTCCCTCAACTAATTGATGATGTCAGCAATCTAAAATTACAGAAATCCCATATTGCCCTCCAAATATATATGAAGACCATTTTGCCCAAACAATATGCTCCTGCCAAAATGGAGCACACAATTCCCTTCATTTCTCAAGTCCCATCTAACACCTTCATTTCCCTCCATTTTCTCTACATATATTAATGTATTATATTGTTTATTTTCTATATTTGATGATTTGAATTGCATTAGATATTTTCCACTTAATGTATTGGTAATTTATATTGATTATTTAATTAAATTGTTTACAGATGGCACCTCAGTTGAACTTGCCCCACTTGCAAAAAATAAGTTTGCCACATATGACAATTCAATAAAATTAGATCAAATTGTTATAAGTTAAAACAAAAATATAAAATAATAAAAATTCACAACAAGAGAAGTAAACCAAACATATAAAGAAAAGTCATAATTAATAGTGAACATAATTTTCATTACATAACTTCATTAATAAAAGACTCAACAGGTTCTATATTTGTCCTTACATAACTTCATTTCACCATCAAAAAAAAAATAAATAAATAAAAGATGTTGATGGAACTGGTGTTGCCTAACTCAGACTTCCTATTCCTTTCCCTCTCTGTGTATGATCAATTTACTTGAAGCATGTTGTAAGCTGAATACACACACACACAACTAATTTTTTTTTTTTTTAAAAAAAAAAAAAAAAAAAACTAATTAAACAAAAAAAAAAAAAAAACACCAAGACTATACCAGCTGATGGTTAACATTCACCCTTGCAGGTGGTTAACTCATACTACTAACTCCCCTTTCCTGCAAAATATGCCATTGGTAGAACTTGTGTTGACTGAGTTAGACTTCCCATCCCTCTCCTTCTCTATATATGATTCATCTAATTAAAATATGTTATAAGTTGAAAAAAAAAAAAATACAACTATTTTAAAAAACAATAATAACTTTTTTTTTTAAAGAAAAAAAAAACTCTAAAACTATACCAACTGATGGTTAACATTCACCCTTGTAGGTGGTTGACTCATATTGCTAACTCCTTTTCCTGCAGAATATGCCATTGGTGGAACTGGTGTTGGCTGACTCAGATTTCCCATCCATCTCCCTCTCTATATATGATTCATTCAATTATAATATGTGGAAAAAAAAAAAAAAAAACCTGAAAAAAGAAAAAAAAAATAACAAATAAACCTGATGCTGGGTGACATTGCCTAACATGTGGCTGACTCGTATTACTGACTCATATTACCTTTCCTCTCCCTCTCTTTATATAATTCATTCAACCAAATAAAATAGGCTAAAAGTTAGAGGAAAAAAAAAAAAAAAATAAATAAATACATGTTGCTTGTTCGCATTGACACCAATTTCCATTCATCTCCCCCTATTTATATGAATCATTGAAACAAATAAAACAAGTTACAAACTGAAATATCATCGTCATCCTCCTCATATCTATCATCTTTTACATCAACATGAGTATAATTTGCTACAGGTTGAAAAGGCCCAACACCTGTTGCAGGGCAAACACTTACAGGACCTGATAATAACTCAGCTAAACCAAGATCAACTCCTACAATCCCCTCAATTTCAACACACACATTAATCCTATACCTAAACCTATTCAACATAAACATGTCCTCAACTTTTTTATCATTGTCAACTAAGATCATTCTGTTAGGTAAGTCATAATCAGGGACGGAGCCAATGAAGGCCTCGGGGGGCACGTGCCCCCCCTGAATTGGCCAACAACCTATAATATGTGTGGTAATTTTAAAAAAAATTCCATATATATGACAAAATTTATATAGTGCACCCCCTCAAATTTATAATTCCTAAAATTATATTCTTATTTTTTCTTTATTTTCTCTTTTACCCTTCACATTCCTTAAATTTTCTTAATAGAAAAAGTCAAAATTTTCTTCCTCAATTGAAACTTTTTAACTATTTCCTAATAAAGTTTTTTCATTTTTATTTTCCTTCTATATTTTAATAATTTTCTTCTTCTTTGTCTTTTTAAATTTTATAGTTGTTATATATATATATATATACACTCCGTATTATTATTATTATTTTTTGGCAGTGTGCCCCCTTAGTTGAAATCCTGGCTCCATCACTGGTCATAATATATGTTAATATCTATCCCAATTTATGCTAATACATTAGATAATGCAAATTCCATAATGTGATCCATGAACTCTAAGTAACTGTGTCTGCTAGGATCTATACCCTATCACATTGACATTTTCACCGTAATGGACAACTAAGTTATAAACAATGGGTGCATCCATCACTGTCAATAGAAAATTAAGAAGGAAAAAATTATAAAGAATACAGAAACACTTGAGACATTAATAGAGATTGCAAAACTCAATAAATAGATATCTTGGCCAAATTGTATAATTTCAACATCACACGAGAAAGGAATTAGCCTAATCAACACAAAGAAACCCAAATTCTAAAAAGCCGTAACTTTTCAACCGTATTTGCAAATTGCCAATAACCAACAGAGTAGTAATATATTGCATAAACATATGAGTATAGAGCAATATTACCCTAATCAACACAAACACATATAAATTCTTACAAACCTTAACTTTAAAACCTTAAAGAACATATTAACATGACCAATAACATATTTTTTAGAAAACAAGTACAAACCAGAGATCAAGTAACTTATTAGTATCCTATTTTGCTTCACTATTTTCAATAACACAAACAATGGAAAAAAAAACCTTAATTTCAAAACATTACAAGAAACTTCATTTGAAAATAATGAGCACTACCAGTTCGAAGATCACAAACAAGCAAACAAGAAAAAAAAAAATAAAAACCATAATTTCAAAGCATAATTATAACTATCATTTGAAAAAAAAAAAAGGAAAAAAAAGTGAACCCAGAAAATAAAATCCAAAACCTAATTTCAAAATATTACCAAAACCCAATTTCATGATCTAAAACCCAGAACAAATCTAATGAGTGTGAAGATCTAAGACTCTAAACAAAACCCAAAACACAAATTTCAAAATATTTACATAATCGAGTTCGAAAAACTTACTCAAACGCGAATGGAAGCTCCTGATTTTCTTCGTTCTCCTTTGCTTGCACACTACTCTCTTTCCCTGTCTTCGTCTCTGTCTCTCCTTCGTTCCTTAGAGAGTTATGAGAATGAAAAACGTGTTTAAATGGAGTGTGTTGGTGGTTTTTCAACTAGAACGTGTGTAGGTGTTTTGATATATGATTTAAGGGCAAGATTGTCTTATTAAAATTTTACCATTATTATATTACAATTATAGGCTAAAATGTGAGGTCATTTTAGTAAAATCCCATAATCTGTTAATTGAGCTTCACAGACGTATGTTTTAGGGGAGGAAAATGATATTTTAAATAATTGAGGGGAGCTGTTTGAATTTTTAGCTAACTAGTGGGGACGTGAATGTAATTTACCCTTAAATTTAGTAGAAAAAATATGATCACATGCACTCGATAGCAACATACTACCGTTGTAAGCTTTATGATTATGCGTCTGATGGAATAAGATGACATCATAAGTATCAATCGTACAGATACAGTCTCAGTGGTACGTTATAATCATACATCAGCCGTCTCATGGAGTCTCTTTTTTTTTCAATAATCAATCCAATTTTTTTATTACAATTTAACGCTCGGACATCTCTGTCTCTCTCTATATTCATCTTCTATCATTTTCCTCCTCCCTTTTCAGCTTCTCCTCGCCGTCTCTCCCGAATCTGACTCTCCGAGCACAAGTGAATTCCGTGTGGTTCCTCGCGATTTCTCTCCTGTAAGTAAACTAGGGTTTTGAGCTTATCTACTGAGCTCGATTTGAGCTATGTCATTTGAGGGATTTGAGACATGTCAACGCATGATTTGGATGTACAATTAGTGGTTCACTTAGGGTTTTATTGTTAAACTCGTGTAGTGTTAGTAGCTCTGTTCATGCAATTTCTTACTTTATTTTATGACTTAAGTTCAGTCAAAATTGGCCTTAGAACTCATGTAGCTTAAATTTCGACAAAATTTCTTAATTTTGAGTTCTCTCATCCTTAATATGTTTAAGATGCACTTTGTTTTAGGCTTCATGTTTTTATAAACGTACGCATAGACACATAAACATTTATTGATATTATATTATTTTAATTTTTGTTGATGATAGTTGAAATTGTAGATCTGTGAAGGAAGAGGGTGTTCTGTGTTGTTGAGTTTGAGTATGTTATGTTTCAGTATAGTGTAAAATGGGTTCTCAATGGTTTGATATGTCTTGGTATGATCGATGGCGCTTGAGCTCTGTTGTACTAGTAGAATTTATGAAGCTAGAATTTTATTGTGTTTGGAGTAATAAAAAAGAATGTGCAAATTTAGTAAAATGCGTAGAGTGTCCAAATTGGTTAAGATCGTTACTTGATATAGAATAACTGAATACAAACCAGTAGATTAGTAAACAGGGGAAAAAAAATAAATAAATAAATAAATTTGAATATCCGAAGTTAGGGTGTGTTTGGACATTACTTGGTTTGACTGGCCCATTCACTTTTGCATTGCATTTTCCAAACAAATCTATCTTCTTGAAGGGATCGGTTTGAGAAAATGATTGTCATCTAAAAAATGATGCGAAATATTTGGAATTTCCATTTATTGGAAACCTAAAAACGATCACATGCCTTGAAATGTGGTTAAAACTTCTGCCATGTATCCATGTTGACATGACACGACATGGGTATGGGTACAATATATGTCAGATGCACGAAGTCGAATTGAACACCGAATCCTTAGCATATATTTTTTGAAATTTTAAACATTACACTAATAAAACATACAATAATGTATTTACATGCATAATTTTTTTTTTTTTTTTTGTTAAAAGTAATGTAAATACATGCATAGTGCCCACTAACTTACCCTGTACCCTAAAATATGGGTTTAGAGGAGGTCTGATAGATAGACACACCTGCATCCACACATTTACCCTAGTCCCGGGTAAACATAGGTTTTATCCAACCTCAAGGGTACATCCAAAAGTGGGATCATTAATTTTGTTAGCTTTGTCTTTGAAAATTGGTTAGTGTTAAGAGTGGTATTGGAAACACAATTTGGCATAATTTGGGTGCTATTGGAATTCATTAAGTCTTAGATAATTATATGATTTTATAATTGCTACTAGGTCTTTTTCCAGCGTAACACATGGTGGTTTGAGTTGTGTGCTCCTTTATTGTGCAGTTGCATAAATTTATGCCTTGTTCTTCAGTCATGGCAGGAGTGTTTGGACCAACAATTATTATTATTGTAGGCACATATTGAGAAAAGAAGGGTGCTTTTATATGTGAACGATTGAGTGAGGGGGTGTGGAATAGGAGATCTTTCATAAATTTCAGATTCAAACGGGTAAGAGTATTTCTTGATGTGGGTAAAATGTAAAAGATCTTCTATGCTATCATAAAGCTTCGTTATCGTCTAGTTGGGAATATTATATTTGAATTTTAATGGCCAGTTTGTAATATAAACTATCTTGCTCTTGTTATTGACTCTAACTTAGAAATGTATTTATCATCCTAAAAAAGGAATTGCTTCACACTTCTTTTCAAATGTCCTTTTGCAGTTTTTCTCTTTTAGAAACTAAATTCTTGGTTAAATATTTCTACTGAAATGCTTTTATAATTCAGAGATGGAAGTCATCATTTGTTTGATGACATGTTGGTATCAGCATTAAAATTCAAGCTTGTTACAAGATAGATTTTTTTATACTTAGTTATCAAAAAAAAGATCCATTTTTTTATGCTAGACTGTTATTGTGAAGAAATGCTTGTTATGGAGTTGCCATGGAATTTGAAGCTTAGGACCAACAGAAGCTTGGCATTGTAATAAACAGCAATTGCTTGAAATAACTTTCAGTTTGTGTTATCAAAGGTGTAATTATAAATGAATCATACTTTTTTTGCTTACTCTTTTACATATGTTGATGAGTATATTATGACCGTGTGGTAATGGCATATATTGAAGCTATCACTCATGCTGCGATACTAAAACAACTTTCTTGTCCATTACACAAACCTTAACAAACTACAAGAATTGCATGTTCATACTGAGAAACTTCTATAACAACTTTGTCTTCATTGTGAAAAATAAAAAATAAAAAAAAATAATCAACGGCACACATTAAAACCTACTGATATTTGTATGCATGTACTTTTTTTAGTATGCTTTTTATATAGTGGAATTGTTTGTCCACATGTAAATTTGGAAATAAATTACGATTATTTATTTAATTTGTTGGGGATGTGGAGTGAGAATTTTCTTGACAAGTGGCAAGCAGTGCTCAATTAGGATTTGGTGAACTTGAATTCAGCAATACAAAATTCCATGCTGTTGATGTCCATCCATCAGCCTGAAATAATTAAAATATTTTCTATAAACTTAACTAACTATTCTTCTCAAACATTTGTCTTGGTGTCTAGGAAATCAAAATTTCACAAATAGTTAATCCCAAACTTTATATTCGTTAGTCCACAACTCATTGATGAGTCTTCTAATTGTCTATTAATTAATGGATTTTTTTTCTTGTCAATTTAAAATAAAACATAATGAAATTTAAAAAGGCCAAAAGTTTCTAAATTGATGCCTAAATTATTTTTTCGTTTTTTTTATTTGTTCTTATTATTATTATTATTAGTATTATTTATATCTTTTTGTCTACTGCTCTCTTCTTTCAAAAGAACCCTGAAAATGTTCATACTTTTGCAAATCCTCCTTGTTCTTTCCTTGTACATTATTCCTCTTCATTTCTTATTTCTTTCCTTGTACATTAAAAAATGGTTTTGTTAATGAATTATTCTGACACTGAGTAACTCCTACCTATCAAGTTTGTCATGATGTATGCACATTTGTAGAAACACATCTGTTTGCCCCCCAAACTATATACTGATTTTGTTGTTATGTTATCTATACTAGATTCCTTTGCTAAAAGTTCTCTGTGACTTCAATTAATACGTGCTGTCTATTATTCTACAATCTAGATAAACATTGTTTTTGATATTTCTGTTAATTTATTTATTTTGGGTAAAAAGCTAATATCATTACACTTACATGCAGGGCCTTCACGTGCACAAGTCCTTTTGGACCACCCTTATGCTACCATTAGTTATGCTCTTTTTTGCGGAGTTCTGGGCAGAATGCCGCTGTACTTAATATTATGATTTTAAACTTGCAAATTGATATAAATGTGATACAGTTATACAAGGAGTGGATTTATAGTTAAATCAGGTTCTAATTCCTGTCAAGTTTGTTTCAAAATCATGCCTTCTTGGTGGGGAAAGTCTTCATCCAAAGAAGTAAAGAAGAAAGCAAACAAAGAAAGTTTCTTTGATACAATACACAGGAAACTTAAGATTGCATCTGAAGAAAGGTGCAACAGTAAGTCTGGAGGTTCGCGGAGGTGTTTCGCTGATACTGTTTCAGAAAAGGGATCTCAATCTCGTGCAGGGTCACGCTCACCATCGCCCTCCACACAAGTAGCACGCTGTCAGAGTTTTGCTGAAAGGTCCCTTGCCCAACCACTTCCCCTTCCTGGGGTGCCCCTTTCAGCTTTAGGGCGTACTGATTCTGGCATCAGTGCATCAACAAAACCAGAATTTGACAGAAGCTCTAGGCCATTGCCGTTTTTGCCCCTTCCTAGACCTGGAAATGTTCCAAACAGGCCAAATCCTACAGATGTTGAGGGGGATTTAGCCACAGCTTCGGTTTCTAGTGATAGTTCCACTGATAGCGATGATCCATCTGAATCACGTCTTCTGAGCCCTCTGGCATCTGACTATGAAAACGGGAACAGAACTGCTATGAACAGCCCTTCCAGGTGAGTTTGTTATTGATAACTGTGATGTAAACTTTTGGTGATTATGTATGAGAGCTTTGTATTTGCCGTCGTGATTATTTTTGTGTTAATTTTTCCCTAAAAAAACTATTCTGTTCTTTCTGAAGCATAAAGCCCAAGGATCAATCTCCCATTGCCACCCAAAAGAACTCAAGAGAGATGTTGAAGCCAGATAACATTTTTTTGAATAATCAGACTCTCCCTACATCGCCTAAGAGGGGACCTTCGAGCAATCAAGTGCCGAATTTGCAGATTCCTCGTCATGGTGCTTTCTATAGTGCTCCAGACAGCTCTTTGTCAAGTCCTTCTAGAAGTCCGATGAGAATTTTTGGTCCTGAGCTAGTCATGAACTCGGGTTTCTCGGCAGGAAAGCCATATCCAGATATAACTTTGCTTGGGTCTGGACACTGCTCTAGTCCAGGTTCAGGTCACAATTCTGGGCATAATTCAGTTGGAGGAGATATGTCAGGGCAGCTGTTTTGGCATCACAGCAGGTGTAGCCCGGAATGTTCACCAATACCTAGCCCCAGAATGACAAGCCCTGGGCCCAGCTCCCGAATACAGAGTGGAGCCGTCACCCCTCTGCATCCTCGAGCTGGTGGAGGCAACACAGAGTCGCCTACAAACTGGCCTGATGACGGGAAGCAACAAAGCCACCGATTGCCCCTTCCCCCAATAACAATTTCTAATTCTTGTCCCTTTTCTCATTCATTTTCGACGTCAACAACTCCTGTAGTTCCACGAAGTCCTGGTAGGGCAGAAAATCCAACAAGCCCTGGTTCGCGATGGAAGAAGGGGAGACTTCTTGGCAGAGGCACATTTGGACATGTGTATCTTGGTTTTAATAGGTTAGTTACCAAGGAGAACACTCAATTTTCCCCCTTTTTTATTTTTATCTTTTCTTTTTTCACTATGCTTTTTCTCATATTTGAGTCATTTGACTTTATCATATATATCATTTATGCAATTTATAATATCTTTTTGTGCTCGTTTTTCTATTTATATTTCCACTCTCATTTTACTTTACTGCCTTATTTAGTGAAAGCGGCGAGATGTGTGCAATGAAAGAGGTTACACTATTTTCAGATGATGCGAAGTCAAAGGAAAGTGCACAACAGTTGGGGCAAGTAAGTTTGCTGTAGTACATTTGTTATAATTAGTAATTTGATGGAAAAAAAGTATGCCTTCTTATATTAGTTTTATAGCTTACCTTTGTGCAACCTTTCATTTGTTCAAGGAGAACTTCATGCTTGCCATTGATATTTTGCAGGAAATTACACTACTAAGTCGTTTGCGACATCAAAATATTGTACAGTATTATGGTTCTGAGACAGTAAGTTTTCTGTACTCCTTGGTGCTGTTCTTGCTCTTTGTTTTATCTATCATTGGACGCTTTATCCTACAAATATATGATTGCTCATAATTTTTTATTTTATTATTATAATTTTCTCCCAAACTTGACAAGTTGACAGTGTTGTTTCATTTCTGTAAGGAATATGTGTTTTGATTATTGTCCTAATCTTCTAAGGTTTTGGGGTGGATATAAATTATAATACTTTGTGCTTATGCTGTTGGATCACTACCTTTGAAATTTTTAAGACTAATTTCCAACATTTGCACAAAAACATTATGCTGCATTTTTTGTTCATGGCATTGTTTTTATTAGATGTTTTGGCCACAAAATAATATATTATAGCAGTAAATGGCAATTGAGGCCTCGGATTATTATAAATATTTTCCTTTGTTCTATATTCTTTTAACAGGTAGCTGACAAGCTATATATATACCTGGAGTATGTATCTGGGGGTTCCATCTACAAAATTCTTCAAGACTATGGCCAGTTGGGTGAAATAGCCATCCGTAGTTATACTCAACAAATTTTATCAGGACTTGCATACTTGCATGCTAAAAATACGGTCCATAGGTGAGTTCAGTTTTTGGTGATCATACTATGGGCATTCCAATTATCACTTACTCTGAGTGGTCCTGGTCTGCTTTGTTTAATTAAGTTGTTTTTTGTTCAGGGACATCAAAGGAGCAAATATACTTGTTGACCCCAATGGCCGTGTGAAATTGGCAGATTTTGGGATGGCAAAGCATGTAAGACTGTACCTGTAAATTTTTCAGGACACAACTACATTCTTAACTTAAAAGGAACCGCACTGTAACAAAGAGTAACTAAAAATAGAAAGTGTAATCATGCAAAATGTCTGGGACAGGGAGAAGTTGGAACTAAAAATGGAAGACATGATAATAATAGAATTCCAAACCTCCTGAAGTGAGTTAGAGCACGCCATGATATGAATAGGATTAGCTGATGTCAGTAGCCTGAACATCCCCCCCACCCCACCACAAAAAAAAAAAGAAAAAAAGGCCTGCCTGAAGTGAATTGGGTCTTCCCATGATATGCAATGGGTGATAACTGATGTCGCTAGCTTTATTCATCTCTTTTTAACATGAGAGCTGATGCTGTCTGGCTCCTTGGATAATATGCATAAAAGAATGAGCATCTTGTCAAAACGGTCAAAATGTTCAAGGGAGACAGGGTAGGGTCTGAAGGTCAAGAGAGAGTACATTTTAAATCCATTAGGCTCCAAAGCAACTTACGTAGTTGGCGCCCCAGGTTTCAAGCTCTCTAGATGGAGAATTCATAGGCTAAAAGATGGAAAAAAAAAAATGGACCGCAACTAGAGTAAATTTGGTTATGAATATCAAACCCTGTTTTCGAGAAAACTTCCAATAAACTTCTTTTTCTCCTCATATAGTAAATAGATTCTGTCCATATTGAGGGTACCAATAGGGGGAAGAGGCAAACCAGAAATTAATATCGGTTGAGATAGTTACTGAAGTCGCCGTATCATGTGGATAAATTTTGAAGCTATGGTCCTTTACAAGAATGGGGAACAGGATTCATATGCCCTACCCTTATTAGTTTGGTAAGGCTTTGGTTAGTTGATTTTGGTAATTAGATTAGTAGATATAGTTAAAGCACCGCAGGTTGAACCAATTTTTGCAAAATTGACATAATACAGTGTGGTGGGAACAATTTTCTTTCCTAATACAGTTGGTTTCAAAGTACATGCTAATACTGATTTGTTACAGAATCTTTGAAATCTATGCTTTGAATTTTATCTTGTCAAGTTTGGCCAATATATGAGTGTGTATAACTGTATATATATTATAGAATGGAAATAATCTTGTTAAGAAAAGAATTGGCACACTTTGTAACCTGGTTAATGCATTCTGAATACTTTACGCGCATCTTTATGAGGTTGCATTTTTTAGTCTAATTTAACTCAAAAAATTTGCAGATTACTGGGCAGTCTTGTCCATTATCATTCAAGGGAAGTCCTTACTGGATGGCACCTGAGGTCAGCATGGTTATATGGTCAATACTCTTCTGATATAATTAATGACAGTTCTTTCTAGTAATACGTTGAATCATTGATTTATTGGTTATTCAGGTTATAAATAATTCAAATGGTTGCAATCTTGCTGTGGATATATGGAGCCTTGGATGCACAGTTCTGGAGATGGCCACCACGAAACCACCTTGGAGCCAGTATGAAGGGGTTAGTAGATTTGGATACACATGCTAAAAAAATTGATAATTTTTCTATTAGTGTACTATCAAGTTTGCTTCTTGTACAACTAGAAATATATTAAACCCAGTGAGAGCAATCTCATGCTTGTCATATGGATTGCTTGACCTGATTTTTTTCTTACGTTATTCTATGCACTTCTTCAAAAGGTTGCTGCGTTGTTTAAGATCGGAAACAGCAAGGATCTTCCTGCAATCCCTGATACGCTCACAGATGATGGCAAGGACTTTGTGAGACAGTGCTTGCAGCGCAATCCATCACAGCGTCCTACAGCTGCTCAGCTTTTGGAGCACCGATTTGTTAAAAATGCTGCACCATTAGAAAGACCCATTCTAAGTTCTGAACCTCCAAAAACAGTACCTGCATTTACAAATGTAGTAAGATCTCCTGTAAGTGTTCTTTCTTCTTCTACCTCCCTCTACTTTTCCATACTATTCTGTATGCCACTGCTGGCATTACTTGCCACTGAGTTGCATGCATATGAACTGTTTGTTACATTAGTTGTCTTTCTTGTGTTTGGGAAATGCAATGGCCAAGTAAAAGAGATTTTGATAGGAAACCCTTCTTAAACTTATATAGAATGTAAGTATCTTTGAATTATTGACTGGGTATCAATTGATGGCATTTTGGAACATTCTTATCTTTGGATGAGTGGAGTATATTCCACCATCCCTTACTTTTGTGCTAGTTTATCTGCTTATTCAACTTTTCATGTAAAATTAGTAGAATGTTGGTCATGAGCTTCTTGCTTTGGTGGGGTAACTTGCTTGGCAATACATCTTCTAATGTGGTTGCGTAGCATTTTCAAATTTAATAATGACCTGCATTTCGGTATGCTTTTATGTTCTTTGAACCAACATTGTACTGAATCTATTGGGTTCTGCTACACCTTGCATATCTGAGAATTGGTGTTATCCAGGCAAATTCTTTTGTTTTATTCCTTCATGGCTTTGTTGAAAGGCCTGCTGTGGCTCATTCCCCTAGGAAATAAAATGATTTGAAGGAATGTTTATCTGTTTACTTTTGTTTAGAAGGCACGTGTATATTTTTCTCCTTTGGTGAAAATATGTTTGCTGAAACTTGATCCTGGAAAGGGCTTGATTATAGGAAGGAGTAGCAAACTCTTTCCTAAATTTTTTCTTTCCTTCTTTTTCTTTTCTTTTTGGTGGAACGTAATTATGCCTTGTGGATGATTGCTTGCATATGAATACATTCTGAGATCAGGGGACGATCATATTCATCCCTAGTTGTTACAAGTTTGATTCATCATCATCTTTTTTTATAAAAGACAACAAAACATTGTATGGGAATGCGAAATGAACGGCTTTTGGAGCTAGAGGTGACTTTTGGAAGCTGAAATGAAAAAAGGAGAAAAATTATTAGTAACTCCATCTGGTGTCAGGTGTTCAGTTCTTATATAGCTTGTTATCTGATCAGAAATGCTGCAAAATCATTGTCATGGATCATCTCTTGTAACACTCCCATATTTCCTAAGCTTCAAGCAAATACTTACTTCAGTGCTTTATATATATGTTCCTTGTTTACAGTTATCAAAGGTCAGGTTTGTCTATTTTCTTAATTCTCTCTATAAGGAACCGGTTTTGTCAGAGAATGGTGTACAAATAAAAATGTGTGTAACAAGCTCTAGTTATTCTGTTAAAAGATATTCTAAGCAAAAGGAAAGGCTTGCTTCTTGCTCAAGAAAGTCATAACCGATAGCCTAGGAAGTTTGTTTGCAACTTCCATTCTGACTTGGCCTGATTCAATGAAAATAGCTCTTTCGAAAGTCTTGTCTGATAGGCAATTCCTGGGATAGGAAGGATAGGAACAGCTTTCTTTAAGAACGGGAGGAACTTGGCTGCGGCTACCCCGAGTTTAGGAATTGTTAATAGGTTTCGTGCACAGTGAATTGTACTTCTGAAATATGATCCTTAAAATCAAGGCTTGGTGGGGACCTAGATTTGGGAAAGAGATACCAGAGAATTAACAATCACAATGGCTGCTTCCTGGGGTGGCAAAACAAATAATCAGTCTACAGGATGGGTCATTTTAAATGAAGGCATGAAGTTGCTTTCCCAGACAGTAGATAAGTCCATAACTTGTCACCATTTCCCTTTTTCCTATTGAGCATAGCCAAACACTGGATTAGCATTTTGCCAATTGACTAACTTGTAGTTTAATGTAAAAGGCACATATCACAATTATTTTAGTTTAGAATTGATGCCTTGTGAAATATTACTATTTTTGGCCAATCAACTATGCCATCAGAGTTTATGCTTTACTAGTTTAAAAGTAGTTCATTTTTATTGCATATTGAAAAAGGCAGTCTTGAGAAGTGAACGTTCTAACAAGATTGATGCTCAGGCAATTCTATGGCATATATTTTGTTCTGTGATGCACTTCTCTTGATCGTTAATAAATTGACTATGTTCGCTCCTTTCATCTGCTGTGGCTTTTGGAATTCTCCTTGGTTGACTTTTGGTTCACACACTTGAATGTTTTTAGGGTATTGGACATACCAAAAGTCTTATGCACTTGGACTCAGAAGGATTGGCCATCAATCACTCCAGAAATTCAAAATTTGGTTCAGGATTCAGGTTCTCTCTCTCTCTCTCTCTGCCTGTATGTCCACTCACAAATGCACCCAGGCATACAGATGTTACATACAAATATATATATATATATATATATATTCATGCATGCACAAGGACACAATTTAATCTAACATTACTGGTAGTCAATATCTTACTGCTTATGGATAGCATATTGGTCAATGTGTTCATGCTGCTATGTAATTTGCGTAAAAGCCATAAAGTTGTTTATTGGGTGGGGGAGAGAACTGGTAGTAGTTATAATTGTGGCTTTGATGCCATCAAACTTGTCTTGCATCCTTCGTTGCAAATATGACGATATTATGGTTTTTGTCATATTAACTTCCCTCTGTAGTGATGATACTACCACCACCACCACTACTATATAAAAAATCGACCAGTTTTCATTACTACTACCGCTATTACCATATAAAAGATCGGTCTGTTTTCATTACTACTACTACTACTAAAAAGATCTGTTTTCATGTCAACTTTGATTTACCTAGTGTCTAGTCTTCCTTCTGTTTTCTAATATCCACAGACCACTTTTTCGGTTGATATTCCTATCTTTTGCTCGTGTATAAGATAAAATTGTCTTGCAATAGTTGTCGTATTTCATTCCATCTGATTCCAGTGATTCCTATAAAATTGTCTTGCAATAGTTGTCTTATTTCATTCCATCTGATTCCAGTGATGTCCATATGCCGAGGAACGTATCATGCCCGGTTTCTCCCATTGGAAGCCCTCTCCTACATTCACGGTCACCACAACATATCAGTGGATGGATGTCGCCCTCTCCCATATCCAGCCCTCGTACCACATCTGGGACATCCACACCTCTCACCGGTGGCAGTGGTGCCATTCCATTCCATCAGTCGAAGCAGCCAAATACCTACTTCCATGAAGGCATGGGAACCATGCCAAGGTCCCCAAACAGTCTCTACCCCAGTGGTGGCACTTCCCATCAGGACCCTAATCCTGACCTGTTTCGAGGGATACCACAAGCCTCTCATGTTTTCCGGGGAATGCATTCATCTGAAAATGGTTTTCTAGCAAATCAGTTTGGACGGCCTGTCCATGGGGACTTGAGGGAACTATATGATGGACAGACTGTGTTGGCAGATCGTGTGTCCCAGCAGCTCTTGAGGGATCATGTGAAATTGAACCCATCGCTGGACCTTAATCCCGACTCTTCAATGCTAAGCCGCGCCAATGTAATTTAATTTCCACGTGGAGCACCTGATCAGAGCTGGCTCTCAGGCGTATCTCTTCCCTCTGATTTTATGCAAAAGTAACTGAAAGAAGAAAATCCATTGCATGAATTACATCTTTTTTGAAGCTGAAATGGGAAGAAGAGATTATTCAATTTTTGGCTTGGATAGTCATGCTCGGTATGGTAAATAATATCGCTGTTAACAATTTTAGTTGCACTGTAATTTTCTTCCAATGTTTACTGTTGCAACACTAATATCTTTCTTGGATGAAAAATCTGATCTGGACAACTGAACTTCGATTTTACAGAGAGAATGCAGCCTCTGGAGCTCCAGAATACGGCAGTTCCTTACAGTGAAGATCTTTTCAGCTAGTGTAAAGAACTGTACATTTTTAAGTTATCATACATGAAAACAAAGTATCTTGAAAAAGCTTTTACTTTTTGGATTCGGTAATGCTTTTTAGCTCTTCTGGCGGGTTAAGTAGGTGAAACCGCTGTATAGAGGAGGGGTTGGGTAGTATACTGAGTCCAGATATTTTTTTGGGAAAGGCAATTTGAGGAAGTTCCAGTCTTGGCCTGTTCAATCGGCTGGGTTGATTATGGAAGCTCAGTCCGAACTTTACAGGTGGTCGGCCCTGTGGAAAGTTGTTGTATCTAAGTCTTAATTGCATTAATTTGAAAATCTGATTTAACCAAATGTTCTTCCCCCAAAAATTCTTTGAAAAAGCCAATGGTAAAGAGGGTGGAAATAGTTGTATGGGTATGAATGATCTTAAGACGAGTATGATCTTTGAAATATTTTCTACGTGCCAGCCCAACAAGCAAGAACATCTTTTCAGGACTCTTGAGCCTTGCATTTGAGGTCCTTGTGTGCAGCTTAATAGATGTTTGGTTAATTTATTTTTTTATTTTTATTTTTTTCTTTCTTCTTAGTTGATACACACACACACACGTCTCTACTGAGATTCGAACCCTAGACCTCTCTTTGGAAAGTAAGGGTCTGGTACCACTAGACCGTTGTTGTTGTTGTGTCTATAATGATTTTGTTCGTTAATTATATAAATTACAATGAAACAAGTCTAAAAATTGTCAATGGTGAGAAATAGAAAGAAATAGGCGATCGAGTACCCACGTTTGTTTGTTTTTGGCATGCAACGGTTCATGTCCACAGTTTTTTTCATGTCATTTTAAATTTAGATTCTGCAGTTCTAAAGTCGTTTGCAATCTTCAAAACCTCATAGCACCTCTGTTTAGTCATAATTTTCATTTCATTTGTTGAATTCACCTCCATATAATAAAGGAAGAGCTTAATACTATATTCAGTCTAATTTCTGCTTCAAATGTTTTCCGTTTTCAAGCAACGTATCAAAGTATTCTTTCCTATTCCAGGTTTTCAAATTACAACACGAGTTCCATATCTTTCCAAATTTAGCCCAAAGCATTCCACAAAATCAATCATCTCAACTACTTGGGATCGGTCAAGCCCAGACTGAAATCCCACAGTTTCTTTGCCAGTTCTGCATTTTTAGCTAAAGCGCTTGGTTTGGCTAGATTACTGTCCGAGAAGTACTCACCGCTCACCCCCTTGACTTGCGGGTGCAACGCCACATAGCATGTAGTTGCCGCTCCCTGGAACCAAAACAAATGAAATTAATAAGCAAAATGTGTTTTATAGAAACATCTTAAGCAAAATAAATGGCACAAACAAGCAAACCCAGCAGGATCTTTGTCTTGAAACACAAAGATTATTGTATTCAAGGAAATTCTGTGCATGATACATTAAATTAGAAGAGAACATACCTGCGGAACATTTTTAAGCACATATTTACCGATCATATTTACAATGCCTGCAAGGAACCAAAGCATTATTAGCAAATAACAGAACTTCATATTTGTACTAAATAAATGAAGTAACTTATGAGCCAATTATATTTGGAGATGCCATGATATGTTTTAAAAATGATGCATCAAATTCAATCATCATTCCAAACTTTATGAACAGAACACTTCCTATACTGTAATGATACGGTAAATGAGTGTAATAATGCCAGAGGGGAACATATAAACTAGCACAGGATCTACATGGTGCCAAAGGATAAATTAATACCCAGTTTACAAATCCCAACAACTTGGTGATGTCACTTCACATAAATAAAGATTTTATACTGATACAAAGTAGCAAACTTTGCACAATCCTAAACAAATGGAGAATCGCCGCAGGATTGGATATGCAATTGAATTACATCAACTTGACAAGTCACAATATGGCCACATATATTTCTGGAGAACAGAATTAGATGCAAGTAAAATGCATATAGATTTACCGTCAAAAAAGCTATGGTGACGCAGAAGATTGGTGGCAATAGCTCCAGGATGAAGTGAATTGGCAGTTATCTCCACGCCTTCGGCCTGGTTCATTGTAGAGAAAGGAACCAAAAATGTAAATTAGATTCTCACAAGCACGATGATGCAACAATTATTAAAGTATGAAATGATGGCACCAGTGACTTGTCATCATTACAAAAATTGTAATGATGACAAAAATTGTAGACAACATTCAATCCCAAAGACGATGTGACTATTCATTTTCAGAGAAAACCAACGTTGACAATTGTCTCTACTTGACATGGTTAATCACTTTGAACATATAACTTTTCTGAAGTGGTAGGGTCCAAACTAGGTTGCTCTTAGTCGCAAGTAGCATTTAAGTAAGCTAGGTATTTTGTGGTACTAGAACAAACTACAACAAAAGATTATGTTGCAATTCAACACGATGATCGTTTCTCAAACAAAGGATGCAAACATTTGGTCACATATTGAAATGGAGTGTTGGTTTTATACAGGGTGAGTAGTTTTTCTGTATGGCTAGCCAAAGGCAAAATGAGAGTTTTGGGATGGAATGTTTGACCCAAGTACGTTTGTGCCAGAAGGTGGATGTGATTGGTTGGGTAATGGCTAAAAGGGTGTGTTTGAGCGAGTAGGATTTAGTGGGAGATGGAGTCCATTGAATGATATCATTTGTGTTAAGGTTATGGATTGGTAAGTTATTGATATCACAGTGGGGTGACACTAGGTTGGATGGATATCTAGGCCACTATTTAAAAAAACTTCCAGTAAGTGACGATTTTGCTAATCGCACTAAAGGGCGAGAGTTAGTCTAAGGCGCCACTTTCAAGTACAGGACTGAAAGGGTATGGGTTCGAATTCCGTTCTTGATGTTCCTTTTCTGAAGAAAGGAGTCACTAAAGGATACAATGACGTAACAAAGGCCATGTACGATGGAAGTGTAGCTATACTCGGAAAGATTGTAGGAGAAACAAATGAATTTTAAATAACTGTAGGCTCACATCAAGGTTAGGCATTACGTCTACACCTATTTGTCTTAATTATAGATGAACTAACAAGACACACCCTGGACCCCTGATTCTATGGTGCATGTTAATTGTTGTTGATATAGTTTTAATTAATAAAGCTATAAAAATTGGAGGTTTGGAGGCATGTTCTAAAATAATTAAAAAAATCTAAGATAAGCAGGGAGAGTGGCGGGGGTTTCATTTTGAGGGATCATATAGGTAGGCCAATCAAGGTTGTTTCTGTTATGGAATCAGCTCCTCTACGTTTCTTGTAACACCCCCAATTTAAAAGGACAGTCTTGGAATTTTATTATTTTATTTTATTGCATTTTTATTTAGTTAATTGTTTTAATTACTTGTTAAATTGCTCGTTTTTGTGAATTAATTGTTTTATTTTTAATTGTTTATTTTAAATTGTGTTTTGGGTTGTTTTATTATCTAAATTGTATTATTAAATTTTAGTATGTACGTGCTTATGTGGCTTTGTGATTTAAATGTAATTTAGCTGTTTCATTTTTAGAGTTTCTGGTTGTCTTTAATTAAATCACGTCACGGGTTTTAGCCGACTTAGGGATGGTTTTATATTAGAATTAGGATTGTGGTGTGAAGCCTATATATATACATATTATACGTTGGTTTAGGGTTACAAACAAAACCCTAGTCACCATAGTCACGTCTGTGAAACAGAGAGATACACAGAGAGCAACAGAGAGAGAATTTTGAGAGTTTAAAAGGGAGCTTTAAGGAGAAAGGAACGGGGTTGCTTCTGGGTTGAACCAAGAGCACAGAAGGAGTGGAACGGCAGTATAGGACGTTGTCGGAAACTTTAGAGACGGTGGATTATAGTTTCAAAATCTGAAACTGTAGGCAAGTCTCTGTTCTTCTCTTTCCCGTTAATTCGTGTTCTGTGCATGCCTAGTTGGACTCCAGGGATTTAAATAAAGATTAAACGGACTTAAATAAAAGTAATAACAAGTCTTTTATGCATATATGATTTTTATTTAGTCTCGTTGATAATCTTGTTTGCCTAATCCTTGATGTTTCTGTTATTTGTTTCTTTTCGGTGTGTATGTTAAGCTTTGATTAAATGGGGATCATGATTATGTATTGAGGACTAGACATTAATATGGGGTTAAGATTGAACTCTGAAATAAGTATTAAAAACAGTATTCCATTTTCACATAAGACATCTGTTTTGAATCGCTTAAGTTTATAACTGAGATTGTGTAGTCGTCAATTTAAAAGGTTGTGTTCAATACATGTTATGGTTGTATGTTAGTGGTTTAAGATGTATCTAGGACTGAGTGGGAACCTAAAACAAGGATTAAAAACATCACAGAGGGTCTAGGAAAATACCGGAGTTGAAGCAGATGAAGCTAGAACGGGCGAGGGCTGCTAAGAGGAAGGAGAGAAGGCTCCAAACCTCTTAGAGCTGGCAAAGGGGAGAGCCGGCTCTAGGTGTCATGGAGCCGGCTCTAAGATCCTAGACCCGGCTCTAGGTGGAAAAAATAGAGCAGGCTCCCATTTTAAGAGCATGCTCTCTCTTGAAATGCACTGTAACGTGATTTTTTAAAACTATTTGGGTTTTCTGCAATTAATTTAAATTGTTTAAATGATGTGTGGGACTGTATAAGGCTGGAATTGTGATGGAAAAATATAGATTCAGAATTGGATTGAGGAATAGAGCAAGCAAAACCCAAGAGGAAATTTGTAGCTTGCTCACTGTTATTCTATTTTTATTTACTGGAATTTGGCAAGAGTTTTATATATAATCTAATTATATATAATCATATATGTTTCTTACAGTGTTTTAAATATGGTGACTTAATTAAACTCAATTATACTTAGATTGTATTTATTGGTACTTAAATTGTTATGAAATTGTATCAATTCATGGACAATGTCGGAGGATCTGCTAGGTTTATATACTAGAACTTAGCAAGATTGTTATATATGGTTTAACTATAAATATAAATCATATTTCTATAGTATTATAAGTATAGTGAATTAACTAAAATTTCCTATGCTTAGCTTGGATGTAACTGATGCTTAAAATCCTATTAACGGTATCAATTCCTGGACTGTGTTGGTGAATGTGATTGCTTAAATTTATTGTAACAGTTTACATTATTGGATTTGGATTTTGGGCTCTATAATGAATGCCTAATATTTATGTACATGCATTAAATTTAACTTGTGCATATTCTAGAGTGTGGTTGATGACTATTTAATATTATTTTGTCAACTGTGTTCACTGGAGGATTGTATGTATCGGTATGGGACGGTGACACACTAGGTATGGACTAGTTCAAACATTAAGTTCTACCTAATTTGGATTAAGGTATGGATTAATCATAAAGGTTAAGTCCATCACCTACATGTGTCATATCAATTGTGAATTGAATGACCT